ATGCACTCCCAAAACTAAAATTCATGTAAAATCCGGGCCTTTGCTTTACAAGACCTATGAATCTGCATTGAATTGAAATTCGTAAGTAGAGCTTTCTGCAGAAAGCAAACTTTGGCTGGACTTGCACTGCAGTCTGTGAATTAAAATGCTTATTAGGAAAGCTTCTACTACACTACAACCCAAAGAGTTTTTTGATTTGGAAAAACTATGAATTTGCAAAAGATGACTTCGCAAATGTACTACTTTAGCTCTTCCTTGTCTTTCAGCATTAATGTTTATATCTCTAAGTAGTTAAATGTACGGACTATTGCTAAAGAAATTTTTCACTTTTTTGCAAGCTAGCGGCACTTCATTAATTCTTGCGACCAAACTTAAAATCGCATTAGAAATGCCGTCTTTGAGGTTCGGTTTTACGAGAATAGTCAAAAGATAGCTTCTGAGTAATTGTATTAAAACGCAAATCTTTTTTTTACTTCCAAACACAAATCATAAATTTAGTTTTGATTGATGATTTGGAGAGTTAACAAACTTTATTCGATTTATATAGGAATATTCGCATCGACCTGATATTTGGAAGCATTTGAGTTTGTTAACGAATATTTTGGTGAATTCAACCTTCTTCCATGATTTTTATAGCGTTTGTATGAGTTTAGAAAGAAACACTTATTTCGAACTTCATAAAGAACACAAAACTTTTTCCACTTTCTTATTACCTTAAAATAGGCTAACAAGGGAATGGTCAGAAGTCGAAGTGGTCAATCCATACAAGCTGCATACCATTCGATGCAGCATAGAATGCTGATTTCAAATCTGTCTTCTATATCTGCGGAGCGCCTTTGTAGACGAAGTTATGAGCAGCTTTACTGCGAAAAAACCGTATACATTTGCGAAATTAGGCACATTATTGCTCTTTCAGCTCACCTCTAGGTACGATTCACATGAAGTGACCCAGTTGCATGTATTGGTCCCACACTGAGACGAGAATGGCTTAGTATAGTCAAGTTTACACTTTACACGCACAATTTTCTTAGCAAAATTATGGCCTTCAATGGCTTATATTTTCGTCCACAGTAGCGCTCTGCAGATAAGGAAGATATATTTAGAGTCAGCGTTTTATGCTGCATCTAATGGTATGCAGCTTGTATGGATTGGCCACTTCGACTTCTGACCATTCCCTTGTAAGGAACACATTCTCAAAAAAAACGCAACCAAAAATATGCAAAAAGGTCAAAAATGGACTTAGTCCCAGCTCACCTTGCTGCTGGGAGTAAAATGGGCTTTCAAGCTCATTTAAAATGGAGGTAACTAAATCCCATTTTGCCCCATTCTAAATGGACTTCTGACGTCATCCTTCGCAGGCGAGAGCTCAGGTAGGGTCGAATCATTTTCATTTCACCGCATTGCCTCGTGGTTGCGATGGGATAAAAATTTTTGGATAACGCGAGCGAAAGCAGATTCTGACCACTCTTCACCGCGAACGAATAAAATGGGGCTTGAAAGTCCATTTTCCTCCATTATGGACTTTCGTGGATATCATTCCTGGCTTCCATATCTGCGACACCGTTATCTGCAAAAAGTTATGAGCGGTTGAAAATGTGAAGTTATCGGGGTTTTAATGTATAATATGCTTTAAAATTTAACTTGGAAGTGCACTACTAGCATGATATTGAGTGTCTGATTCCAGGGAATGCTCAGATTCTAATGAAACACAGATGATTGTTTTTGAATAACTATTTTCGAGGTATGGCGCTGTACATTTGCCAAATTCGGACTTTTCATTGCTCATAGATTTTAACAAAGAACTTTAGTTGCTTTTTAGCTGTTCAGAAACACCTATCTGTGTTTCTTTAGAATCTGAGCATTCTCTGGAATCAGTACATTCAATATTATGCTAGTAGTGGACTTCCAAGTTGGATTTTAAAGCATATTATGCATTGAAACCTCGATAACTTCACATTTTCAACCGCTCATAACTTTTTGCAGATAATGGTGTCGCAGATATGGAAGACAGATTTGGAAGCAGCTCATCAAGACGCATCTAATGGTATGCGGATCATTCCAATTCGCCACCTCAAGTTGGGATCGTTCCCTCGTAAGAGGCTTCTGGTAATCTTCTGTTATTTGCAGTCAAATGGAGACCATGAGTCATGGAGTAGAGATTCCAAGCTTTTCAGCGAGAGTACTTGCTTACAGTTTCAAAAAAAAAGTTATGTTCTGAAAAGGACTTTGAAAAGCGCTACTTTGGCCCATGCAAGCCGCACTTTCCTGCGTTTGCATGGTTTCCTGATGATCCCCGGCGGCCAACCGTATTTCGTTAAAGTCAAATTTTTCCTTCGAAGTCAATGAAATCATTCCGGAGGTGCACTGATTATCTAGCCCTAAAGTACTAAACATGTTTCATGAGAACATGAGAGCAACAACTGAGTCACTGAGATGTTGAGATGTCGACGCACCTCCACTCTAGACCTGTGGTTCATCGAAATTTCATTGCCTCGATAATTCAGCTGTTCTTATTAAGAACGTGCTCAGTACTGCTGGAATAGAAAAATACTGCTGGAATGGAATGTATTCACTGACTGCAAATAAAGAAAAATATTTTCGAAGATGAAACGTTAAGCCGCCAGGGATCATCAGGTAATCATACAAAAGTTGGAAAATGCGGTTTGTATGTTTTCGCTCCAATCATAGGTTCATAGTCAAAGGGATTAGGAACGAAATGGGTTGTGTAAACAGCGGAATTTAAGACATCCAAGGCTTCAGAGTACGATACTTTCTTGAAAGCTGCGTTCCCTTCCCCAGCGGGGATGTTAATGCATGCTGTAGAAAGTTAAAAAAATTGATCTGAAAATTAGCCATATTAAGGCAAGGCTGTCCTTTAGGCTATTAAAAATTTTTAAGAAACGATTAAGATACGGGACGTTGAAAAAAAAAACTTTTTCTGGCATTAGCAAAAGAAAATCGGAGTCTGCCTGACGTTTAATTTGAATAAAGTTTTGATTGATGACTCTCCCGAAGATCATCAGCATTCACAACTGCTGTGCTCGAAAGCCAAAGAAAAAAGCTAAGAAAGATTTATTTTTAAATTTATTTTTATATACAAGGTGTCAAAAAATGTGCCAGCTGTTTAATTGTTAATAACTCTCTTGTAATGAAGTCTTTCGAGAGCCATAAGGTGCCATTTTGTAGCGCTAACTTTAACTTACAAGGGAAGCTACCTAAGCTCGGCCTTTTGGCAAGGGATATATAAAGTCTGAATCAGCTTCAAACGCTGATTTCAAATATGGTATTCCTAGCTCCCATACACCATTCCGAAGCGAGTTATAGACTTTTTCCTGCGAAAAATTGGCATGCTCATCGACTCATGGGCATCATGCCATCATCATTTAAGTGCTGGTACACCTGCTTCAAGCTTTTCTCAGAGAGAAAAGATTGAATTTGTTCTATTTCGATACCTCAGCACCTTTTTCTTGCAAATTTTTTTATCTACAGGCAGTTTTCTCATGTTCAGTAGTATGCCAATTTTGCGTAGGAAAAAACCCATAACTCGCTTCGGATTGGTGCGTGGCAGCTGGGAATAGCATACTTGGAATAAGCGTTTGAAGCTGATTCAGAATGTAGCCTTTTACCAAAAGGCCGAGCTAAGTTAGGTAGGTAGCTTTTCTTATTAGATCTGCAGTGTAGAACGAATCAGCCATCTCTCTTTATCACTATAGTATTACGGTAGAAACTTCGGAAAAGGTTTTGAGCCATAAAAAACCATATTGTGCCTAAGAATTGAAACAAAACAGCCTCAAAACGTTTACACTAAACCAGTTAGAGTTGCTGATTCTAACCGTAAAGTTCCCAACTTGTTATGATGCTTCACTGAAGAATTATGCGAGGTAAGCAGCAGCGGCCATTTTTTTTTCAATGTTCCTGAAAAGTGCATTTACACCGTTTAAAAAGCTTCGCAATCTTGTACATAGTTTGAACTCAGCGTCACGAAAACCCTATTACACAAGTTTTCATATATTTTGAGAATTTTTGAAACGGCAGCTTTTTTCACAAGGACACCATATACTTGAAGTTTCTGTCGTAACCCTACAGTAATGAAGAGCGGCCGGTAATTCATTCTATACTTGAATCTAAGTTGAAGCCAGCTCTACAAGACGAGCTTGAAGTTTCTTGAAAAACTTCATCACAAGAGAGTTATTAACAATCAAACGGTAGGCACAATTTCTTTGGACACCCTGTATAAAGCTGAATGCATGTTTGTCTGTCTGTATGTATGTATGTGTGTACTAATGTGCGGAATAGAAACTTTTATTTCTGAACCGAATCGGACCTTGGCATACATATACTTCGGGGAGGGAGCGTGTCCTAGGCTACTTTTCGTATCGATCGATATCGATTTTGTCGATTATTATCGACTTTCTTTGCAAAGTTCAAGCTACGGTGCTGAGAATTGGCACAGGGGGTATTTGAGCATGCTAATTACGGATACAATATTAGTTTTTGGAATTGTCGATTGGATTAACCGATTTATCGATTTTTTGCAAAGTTCAAGTTACGGGGCTGGGAGTTGGTGCAGGGGGTATTTGAGCATACTGATTACGATTACAATATTACTTTTCAAAGGTTACCGGTTACTTCTATTATTTTTATCAGGGGTAAGCGGGCATGCTGGTTACGAAACAAAAGGGGGATGTGGAATTGGCGAAATGGCGCGTAGAAGTGGGCACAGGGAAAGGTTGCACAGGGATACGGATGGGACATTTATCATAGTTATTGACGGGGCCGGGTAGAGCCGGGTAAGCCAGCTAGTTAACATTATAACTGACAGTATAAGATGGGCTGTGACACTGCAATCAATGTGTCAAGAATCTTTAGCTTGTGAAATTTATCTGATAGAATTTTTCACTGACACAAAGCCCAAGAAGTTATAGCTGGGATGAAATATACGTTGATCTTGAAGCTGCAGATAACAAAACACCGAGTACTTTTGGGAATTAGAAAAATATGCAGATGGTATGCAATAAAACTCTACAATCATACTACCGTAAAAATGCGCAAATAATGCTAAAAGTGTTCATACCAATACAGAAAAATGCAAATGCTTTAAGCATGTGCTGAATTAGCCATAATAGGTCTATAAAGAATTGCACTTAGCAGATGTAGCGATTGGCACAAAAATGAAAGCAATATTCAAAAAGAGAAAGAATGCAAGGCATACAAGAACTGAGATTGAGATATCAGATGAGAAAAAGAAAGTAAAACACCATGAGAAAAATAAAAATAACGGGGAAAAGCACACGAGCAATAATGTCGATACCATTGTTGTTTCTGAAATTTCCACATCTCGTGTCGTATGCCATCTCCAGTGTCTAAAATATCGGATAAGGATTTCGGACAAAGTCAATGTGGAAATTTCTTTCTTTTTACTTTGCTGAAAATCTTGGAGCAGTAAGCGAGAGACCATGTATTAAATTGTCGGATAATTTCTGTTACACTTTTTATTTTAATTCTTAAAAATCTCAGAAGCTTTGAAAAGATCTCATGTTCACGGTGTATGGGCAGGGTCAAAAGGCCTATACAAGGGTACCGTCGCATCCGCGATCCATGCGCAAAACACTCACTTTGTGGCTAAAAATCCGTTTGTTCCCATTTTTGTAAATGAGCTGGCGTTCTCTCAGGTGATGAGGGATAGACCGGACAATATGTTAATCAGGTAGGGCATAGTTTGTAGCGTTTAGCTAATATGAAGGGATAACGCAGACATGTCTGCACACGTTTTTCTGAGCGGTTCAAATCTCAGGTGCGCCATCTTTGCAATCATCGAAATTTTTACGAAGAAAACGTCTTCAAAAAACTCCCGAAAATCATTTTTGTATTTTATGTATTCAATTCTATACGATGCACATAAAAAGAAGAATGTAGGAAAGTTTTTGAATTTTTTGATATTTTTTTCACCCCTCGTTTTTGAAACGCTAAAAGCACCGCAATGCCCCCATGTAAGAGACAATGCCAAAATACGTTCTAAAAAAATTCTAGAGAGGGAAAGGGCAAGTAGGTGCAGAGAAAAAGATCAGACAGAAACTGAAAAATTTGACTGCTTTTACAAAACTGCCGTAAACTTGTTGGTCATTAGTGCACTTGCGGAATCAATCATGCTGGTGGGTAGACCCTGCTATGCCCTAAGCATGTTGCAGATTTGGGGTTTTGAGAAAGCTTCTGAAATTTTCTAGAAATTTTAGAAAAAAGTGTAACAGAAATTATCCGACAACCTAATATATTACAGTCAAAACTTAATTTATTCTGTTTCGTCCCCTTCCAAAGTGATCTGCAGGTTTTTGCATGTTTCCTAAGTAAAGAAGGGTAGCCTGTAGATTACTTGGTTTTCTGGGCTTCCAAATCTAGTTCAAAGATCCTTGACATTTATAAAGAGGAATGGTATATCTCAAATGAGTAGAAACCAGAAACAATCAAAATTTCTCAATCGAAAAGAAATCGCGCCGTTGAGTTAAGTCCTTTTTCTAGGATAAAGTGATTTCTTTCATAGCACCATTATGCCCAACACCACAGAAAAACGAAAAGGACCCAGCTTAACTTTTCAGCGCCTGGTATTCAAAAATGGCTTAACCCATTTACGACAACAAGATCATCGGTGGGTGGTCACGCACTTACACAATTGGTCAACTACAAGTCTTCACTGAAAATAAATTAGTAGTGTCGTCTAATGCCGTGCATAGTGCACAAGCTCCCACATTGAGTTACAAATGACTTGAAAATGCGTTCTTTTTTCGCCACGTTTTCTTTCATAGCTTTACATAATACTTGCACCGTCTCATACTTCAAATATTAAAATCGTTATTAGCACGTATTTGTTACAACCACTTTATCTCCCAAACGTTTCGAAGAAAACTTTTTGTGAAAAGACAGTATAAAACTTCGCAAATGCGTTCATGTAGTCTTCGCACATGTTCAAAGCATTTCTTTAGTTCCGTGCATATATTTTGACACATGGAATACATATTCGTTTTCTGCTTTCTGCAGTGTAATATGAAATATTTGCATTTCAAAAGGGCTTCAAACACTCAGAATAGAGCTCAAAAAATCACAAGAGAAACATTTGAGTTTGCCTGCAGGTCCTATAGGCTGTCAAAAATATGCAAACCATGACATTGAGTAAATTTAGACCTAGAAAGTGTATATTTCAAAAAGACGATTTATTCAAGATCTACCTTAACCCTATCGTTGTAGATCTGATTATGACTAATTAAGCACATGCTTTCCAGAACAGTAGTAGATACTGCTGCAAGGGTCTCAAAATCATTACCTCCTTAGCTGATCCAATCGGATTTTCCTCCTGATGCCCATTTGCTGTGTATCTTATCGATCGACGGATTCCACAACATATTACAACAAAGTACTCCACCTAGAATTACGGCTATGAAATGCTCAATAGATTCCAAAAAATGCAAAAGCACAGCTGCAAAAATCTGCTTGAGACCCACCAACGACAGGAATGTAAGAAAAAGGCATATGCTTAACCAGCAGCATAGACCAGGAGTTGCTGTGACGAAATCACGTCGGAAAAGCTCAAAAATATCTATTAGGCGTATTCCATTCAGATCCGGGTATCTGGGCGACATTTCAAGCTCTCGTCCAGTACCGTATTCATGGACGTCTTTGTTGCTCTCGGGGTACGGTACTGAGCGAAGGTCTAGGGCTGATTTTCTCGCCCACGAATGCTTCAAATGAGCTGCTATTAGCACAATGGCTTAGTAGTATTTTTCAATCATTTCCACACAAAAAAGCCCATGTACCCAGAAATGCCTGGGCATTGCCTTATGTGTAAAAAATACATAATCAGATTAGAAACCCACGAAAAGAGCTGCAAAAATGAAAAATGGAACTGCCGCCGAAATCGTCCGCGGTACCGACCAACTTCCGTGAATCCAAAAATGCAGCCAAGAAGCGATAACCTCAAAAATTCATTTAAGATGTATAATTAGCAGTTATTCACTTCTTACCAAAAGAAGTGTAGGTAAGAACCAGTTGATGAAGGTTCCAAATGTCGATCCGCTGAAGGATACTACTACATCAATGCAGGAGTAAGTCCCTGGAGGAGCTAGATATTCAATAATTGTTTATGAACATGTTCAAATTATGGGTAAATCTGACCGAGGGTAAAGTTGCCAATGCAATCTCCAGCACTAGCTTCTTCGAATGGAAAATCACTGTGTAGCAGATCATTTGAGACCTGAAATGTACGGAGTAGATCAGTACTCAGACAAATAACTAGACATCTGTTGTCGCAATGATAATCATACGAAATCGCAAGAGTCAAGAAATCGGAGTAGATCAAAATGAATTCTTCTTACTCAAAATTATTTGACTAATTATTCAGTTCCTATTGAATTTCCAAATCAGTTGTATAGAAAGTTTTTTCCGCGACGACTGCCGCAGGGTCTATCTTCGATAATTTTTGATTGTATGCCCAGAGAAAGTTGGGAAACTTCCAAAAAAATTTCGGAGGTTTGGCTAGCTCCAAGTCCTTCACTAAAAATAATTTCTGTTGCCTCCACTTCCTCCGAACAAATTTATTGAAACTGATGTATGGTATTTGCAGAGTCTTGGGTTAATGATCTACAATCTATTAGATTGCTCTATAAGTCTTGCACTAAAATTTTTGAAAATCCCGTAAACTCGTTAATTTTTGAAAATTATTTTTGGTTCAAACACATCATAGTGTTGAAACATTAGCTTTCTAGTGCTGTTTAATGCAAAAAAAGTATTGTTGGCAATCAAGCCAATCCAGCTGTTAAAGGGAAACACATCGTACTCTTTTTTGATTTTTGATGTTTTTTTTGAATTTCTACATGTTGGAAGGCCGAAAAAAAACTCGATCACTTTTGGTTTTGGTTCTTTGACCTAAAATTCGTGTCAGGTCTCTACTAAAAGCTATAAATTGACGATTTTTTCTCATTTCATTATCCATAATCCAACCTTCAATATGCGCAATTAATGCAGTATTTATCATATAAAAAAACTGTACAGTAAAAGTTGAGTCCTTTCCAAACATTTTCAACGAATTGTTTATATTTTTAGCGCAAGCAAGGGACAACTTAATGAAAACGAAAATTAATTCTTTTGTAAGTGTTGCCTTGTGCAATGCCGTTAAAGTAGTTATGTGTTTTCTTCAGGTGCGCTTTTTAGGCCTTTACTTCCGTCTGAGCTTGCACTTGCATGCCAGTTGTTCATTTCTCTCTTTTATTCCTTCCTCTTTCTCGCATATCAGATCATACAGTGTAAAGAAATTCTACCATTGTGGAAAGTTAGCAGGATACGATAAGCTAAAAAGTTTACGAAAAAGCAATGCACTCCCTTTTTACCACTCGCTCATCGTTTTCTTCAGCTCCACCTTTTCATGATTTCATGTTTACGGCTATCCCTTGTAACTTTTTTGCTGATATTGCTATCGCAGCCCCTCTGAATTTCTGGTGTTTGAAGCAACAATCAACAACCCTTTTTGAGTGCGTCCAAGTGGACGGACAGTGTTTGAATTTGTTGATGCCTAGAAATCATTTGTATGAATCTTTGAGGAAAAAAGCGAGCAACAATATCACGGGCGGGTATCAAATTTCTTTTCACATAGCAAACAATCAAAGATTTACACAGCGCAAAATCTTTCCAGTTTTCTGAACTCAAGTTATGACAAACTTTTTTGAGCTCCAATGCTCGCTCGCAAGTTATCAAATCTTTTTTCTTTCCCCCCCCCCTTTTCCCTTCCTGCAGCTTTACCATATCTTAAGCATAGCATATGTCTTTCCTTACGGAGAAATAGTTAACTTAGTGAAAATACGATAAATGTTCCTTTTTTTTACTAATTTTTGCTGTACAGTTTTTAAATAAATTCAAGAACTTGTGAGCCATAAATCTTCGCTTAGTAACAGTTGCAACATCTTTAAGGACTATAGAAAACTGCTCATTGTACCATGTTTCAGAAACAACAAAACGTTCTAAATCTTGAAAAGAAATTCTTTCCTCACCTCAACCGGTTCTAGCAGTGGTGGATTATGAGCCCATAAATAAGCGACATCCTCGAGTGGATAGACATCTGGAAGATATTGAAGGTTATGAGATAGGAGAATTTTCAGACTTATGAATATACTTACAGCTAGCAAGTCGCAGAACGAATGATCTTTTATTCAGGAAGGGAAACGACTTTCCATAAGTGACAGGCACGTTCAGTGTTCTCCTAAAAAATGTGACTACCGATGAATTTGCAATGTTATTATTTTGAGATTGGAAAAAAGTTTTGAAAGTCTATGTTAAAAATTAAGAACCAAACCATGTATCAATTCCATGGTGCATTGTTCGTGCGTGCAAGAGGGCGGAGTTTGAGATCGATAGGGCGGAGTTTGCCATTTTATAGTAACAGCATTTTCGTTACTTCAGTATTAATGAGTGAAAAAAAACCGATAGTGGTTTGAGTAAGTAGGAACTTGTATTAAAATCAACTAATCAACAAATTTAAAAACTTTTTTTGAGGACAAATGCGCAAAATTTCAGCAAGGATGCAAAGATTAAATTTTTGTGTAAATATCCGTGTGAAAAAAAGCACAACTCCGTGAAGGAGATTTTTTCCAGAGTCAATCATATTTTTTATTCATCCATGTGAAACGGAAAAGTATTACTCTCTTCAAGCTGCTCAATGTCTTGATACCTCTATGTAAACAACTTCAGTAGAACTTAGACATACTGTCAGAAAAGCAAAAAGTGATGAGTTATGTGTTTGCGCAGGTGGCGTGGTCCACCAGATGCTTGAGAAAGAGATATCATAAAGCTTGGAATGTGCTTTTCAAGAAGTCTGCACCGTTATATAGGAAAATCCCAATTACTCTACAGTTTTACGATCTGAAAAGAAATGTAATTTTTCTTCAAGAAAAAATTTTGTTGCTGTAATTTCTGCACATACAACTCATAAAAATAATTCTATGGGGTGTTTTTTACCAACCAGCCACATTGACGTTTTCGGTTCTAAATGGGATTACGGTAGCAGTATGTGAGATTTACAAAAAGACAACGAGAACTAATGACAACAATCAAAATTTACTATTTCGGTCATATAAATGCTATAGTAGTAGAAGTAGGTTTATATGGAGACCATCTAGGTGTCGAAATCAAACTGAACAATCAATTTTATGATTAATAGTTTGTAAATTCTTGCTAGAACTTATACATTTTTGAGGTATTTTGAGAAATATTTGAAAAAACCTTTGAGGAGAAAGTGAAAGGAACTTCCGAATTAAGCTGGACTATATTTTTGTAATCGCCAGCTCCAAATTACTTTGGCTAGATCCATATACATGTTGCTTCCGATATTGAAACTTCAGATCGATTACATTCTGTGCATTATGAGGCTAATACGATAAAAGGCAATCTTTTGAAAGGTCAGAAGTAGGAAAAGAAAATTAATAGCATCATTGCTGAATTATTGGCAGAGCACAATTTAGTTTATATGTGAGTGTTTGACTTAGCCATGGAAAAACTCTCTAGCGTCTGAAACTAAAAAAAAGAAGGAAACCAGTATCAATAATGACCAGTATATATTTGATCAGTCAGGTTAGTCAAAGCAGACAGAGCGGTCACAATTTTTTGAAATTGGAAATCTTATATATAAAGCTGAATGTCTGTTTGTATGTATGTCTGTCTGTCTGTCTGTATGTCTGTCTGTGTGTACGTATGTTCCGAATAGAAAATTCCATTTCTGAACCGATCCGGACCAAACTTGGCACACATACACTTCGGGCCCCGGCGCGTGTCATAGGCTACTTTTCGTATCGATCGATTTCGATTTTATCGATTTTTTGCAAAACTTGAGCTACGGGGCTGGGAGTTGGCACAGGGGGGTAAGTGAGCATGGGGATTCCGAATACAATATTAGTTTTCGAAACCGTGCATTACTTTTATCGATTTTATCGATTTTTTGCAAAGTTTGAGCTACGGGGCTGGGATTTGGCACAGGGAGGTAATCGAGCATGCTGATCACCCCCGTGGGGGTGATCAGCATGCTCGATTACACCCCCTTGCCAAATTCCAGCCCCCTAGCTCAAATTTTGCAAACGATAAAATCGACATCAATCGATAACGAAAAGTGGACTGTGACCCCCGCCGGGACCCGAAATGTATGTGTGCCAAGTTTGGTTCGGATCGGTTAAGAAATGGAATTTTCTATTCGGAACATACGGCGGAGCCGGGTAAGCCAGCTAGTTCTATATAAGAACGCCAGCAACCTATTTTGTATGATCTTGATAATTTCCAAATCGGTTCAAAAATTGATGTAGCTTTGTAAACATTGTTTTTCTCTCCAAAATTTCAAACAAGCTTGACAATTATTCAAAAAATATTGCAAAAACTTCTAGGGGACTTCTATCCACTCTCTTTACAAAAAAAAAACTGCTGAAGAAAGGCATCAAAATTGCCCTTGGTATTGTTAATTCTTAGAATTCCCTTGACCAAGTTTACATGCCCATTGGCATGACCATCTGCTATTACAAATTTTATGACGATAAACTTGCTGAACAGCTGACTCGGCGTTTATGTGTTACTGCGAATGAGAATGAGAATGCAGACAATTAGCAACTAAGATACGAACAAGTAGGATTCTCAGCATTACATAATGATGGTACTCACTGCTGTGACGATCGAACATATCCAGAAGGTTCGACGAAGAGGCTTTGTCGATTATGCATTTGGACCTCGCTGGCTGTGGAAAAGTACGTGTCCGGTACCCATATTTTGCGATTGCTTGGGATGGATACCTGAAAAAGTTCGATGTTAAATATATTTATTGGCCACAATAGTTTTAAAGGTAATTTCGGAAAAAGGGAATTGTAGCGAAGAAGAGATATGATTGCCACCACCAAAAAAAATTTCTACTAGCCTGAAGAACCTCTATGAAGAAGAAAAAAACTGCTTGTTTAAAAACTTACTTTGTGTGAAATTCAAAAAAAATCAAACAAGGAGCATCCTTCTTATCTTTGCGAGATATCTATGTTAGTAGAGTTATTAAGAAACAATGATTCAAAAATGATACTATAAGAAAATGATACTATAATGATACAAAAATGTCTGTAGAATTTTATATTTTCAAATCGAGCTGATTTCTTTGACCAGAGGGGTAATAGCTTTGCAAAAAAAATTTATTAAGTCTGAAAATTGAGGATTTGGGGGGGGGGGTGGAAGAGGGGGGGGGGGAGGCGTGGCACAGAGATTGCAAAGAATTGCAGAAATTTACTCAAAAGGTATAGGAATGCTTCTCTGTTATGACATAGGAACTTATTTTCTCTAACAACAATTTAAGTATGGTTTGATGAATGGGGACAACAATAGGTAAACGCCAGGTGTTACAGAGTAATGAAATGCTCCCTCTGTAATAAAGTAAGAATTTTCTCTTTAACAACAATCCAAGTATGTTTTGATGAATGGTGAACAACACTGTCAGGTGTTATGTGCTAAAACTTGATGTTTTGATGCACTAAAGCACAAGTGAAAAATGATGCCTATACAAGAATTCTTAAAATGTGTCAGAAAGTAGTGTTATTTTTAGCGTAAATTTTAGAGTGCACAGACTGTGGGGGTTGGTTGAAAATAAATAAATTAGCAAAAGCTATCACTACTTTTGTAATGAGGAAGACTAAACCTTTTCATTTTCACGATCCAAAAGCATTTTGTAGAGTAAGAAATCTCAATACACCTGCTACTTCTGATATTTGATCTGGGAATAGCTGGAATCAATATCGAGCTTTTTCGAGAGGCTTTTATCAGAATTTGAGTCAAATGATGGAGAGGCAAAAATGCACACAATTAGCTTACACATGCAAAGAATGCCCATGCGAACACTGCTACTGAGGAGATTGGATGCCTCTGAGCCGTGGCGTGGAAATATTTACTGACAATCGGGAGACAATGATTGAGATATTTAAAATCCTAGCGACTTTGCGAAACCCTTAGATCATGTTTTATGTTTGAGTGAATCAGTGTTGAAAGAAAAGGAATTTTGTGTGAACAGTAGTTTGCCAATTTTTTATCTAAAGCGGCAAGGGTAGGCTTGAAAGCAGTGTTAGGAAATCTGTTGGACTTCTGAAAAAACTTTGAAGACCGCGACCAAATCATTGCTCAAACGGCAGTTCATGTTTTACCTGGAGTCGGTCTTCCTAGAAGACTACGGTACGGTATGGGCAAGGGTTTAGAGGTAAATTCCTATCTAATGTACAATTCTTTACCCGCGCCCCTACCGTACTTATGGGCATTTTTCCGAAAAGTACGGTATGTGAGGGAGTTTGGAAGCAAATTTTCTGTCAACAATAAATAAGACGAGATATGTAGCTTTCTAAAGTATGGATCTTAACTCTCGCCCCTACCGTACCTGAGGCGTGGAAAAGTACGGTATGGGCAAGGATTTAGAGGCAATTTTCTCTGTCAAGATTAAATCAGGTGAGTTGCAGCTTTGGCAAGGGCTTGAATAGGATTTTTCAACCATTTAGTTCTGGATACCCAGAAAGAAGGAGCTGCCATGACACTGCTTTCAATTTTTTATTTGTTAGGAATGGCGGTACTAAATGACCTGTTCAATTCCTTCCCGTGGATCGACATCATACTGTAATCGCCCATCTTCCCATTGTTGTCTCAGGTAAAGATCGACTTCCTGAAAACATTTTTCAAATCGGAAAATCATCTCAATTACAGCGTGTGCGTAAGGCTGAGCTATCTCCGAAACTCTTTGTGCGGATCGAAAACAGCTCATCACTCACGCGCCAGAACACTCATAGTTACACTGTGAGAGTGCCAGTGCCTGTCGTAGAAGCTCGTAAAAAGCGTGTATACGACGAGAATCGAAACGTTTCGAATTACTTGATTTCTCGTTTACTTCATTTTTGTCAATTTTCAAAGGAATTTTTGTAATTTTTAGAAAATAGAGCATGTCAGTTGTAGCGATAACTCACTGCCCAATCTTCATGCCAGGTGACTCTATTGATGAAAATGTTCGTGATGACCAAGATTGACGAATGATCGGCATTGTCTGAAAAGACTTCTCTCAAAATGCTGAGACCATAACTAATCAATAAATCAATAGTTCTGCACTATGTTAGCATCTAGAGCGTTAGAGTGGTTAGAAGCAGTGACTCGCATGAAGATCTACTCCAAAGGAAGCAGATTATGAAATCTTGGGCCGAATGACAACCTCGAACGGGTGGACGAGTTGCCGGATCGTAATCAGCGAGTATTTTTGAAATCACCTGGCCTTCGGTACCAATTCGTCGAGATCGGAACGATTTTTGTGCAAGAGAGCTGGAATAGAATATTAGCAGACTGACTCCATAAATGTTAGTTTAGGAAATTTAAAAAGATAGTAGACATGATTGTTTCAACCAGTGTATTCAGGAGACAAAAGAAACACGATGAAAATATTGAATAATTTTCAATTCCTCACTTATGAATTGATTGAATATAATAAACCAATATCCTCGAGGTGTTTTCTTGTCCAAGTATGGAGAACGAAAAATGTTTTTGCTGTCTTATTCTTCCAAGAGTGTTTGTTATGATCTATTACTGGGATTGTTGAAGTAAAATCCAGGATACTTGAAAATATGAAAATAAAATAGAATAAAAACAGCCTTAACTGCATGATGGCGTCAACTTAGATTTATGTGGTGCAACTACATTTCAAAGTTTTCGGACACCATCAAATTGGTGAAATTATAAGGATAATAACCAATTTTTGACTAGTTCAGAGATATTCTTGTTTTTTGTGTTAAAACTTCTACATCGTTTATGCTTTTATTCTTACAAATGATGGCATTATACATATAAGAATTTGGGTTTTTCTGCAATTGCACAACTTCTCGCAAAATTTTGATGGCAAGTATGTCTAGACGGTAAAAAAATCTGTTAGGATAGCATAGAGCACTTAGATCGAAAAGTACTGCACAATGGTGCAAAACATTGTTCAAACATCAAAGAGCCAGAAAAACTAAAATTTTGCACAAGTCACTCCAAAAATATTGATTAAAGTTTTGAAAGCTGCTCTTAGTTGTCGGTTATAAAAATTCTATACTTGAAAATGCAATCATAAAGTAATTTGGCTGCTCTTGATTATAAGCGGCCATAAAAATTTGTAATAAAGGTAGAGAAGATACAACGAAAATCTTCAGCTTTTTCCACAAAAATGGCTCCAGAAAAAACTTATAAATTTCCACAGTCGTGGAGCGACCAAAAAGATCACAGTGATGTTAAAGCTTACAAATGATAGAGGTACAAATCTCGAAGCATTTTTTATGGAATCATCATTCATTCTAGAATATTTACAATGCACTCAAGATACCTTGCAGATTAAATCCATCGTTGAAATCACAAATTTTTCAGAATGAAAAAAAGAAAAGCTGGAGGTTTAAGAACTCAAAACGTGGGGGTAAAGTAACAAAGCACAAGGCAGCTCCTCTATGGCATAAGATACCTTCAGAGGAATTTTTTCTAAGCCGAAGAAAACTTACACAGTGACGAGCACAAGCAGTAAGAGAGCACGCATGTCGCTGCGGCGATCGAGGTGTGCAGCCGTCGGTGTTGTGTTTCTCGCCCTCCTCGCCCGTCTGTTTCGTCAATTTTCGCCCATCGGCTTTCTAGCTTTTCCATCTCATGGGCGGTGACAGTTGACAGCAAAAGCTGAGAACGAGAACCACAAAGTCATATAACACTAGGAGCGTTGTGTGTAAATTAATTAATCAGAAGTGCTGTGGAAGTGTGTGGGCGCGAAAAGAACCGAGTGGATGATGCTTTAGCTGAATTTAGAGGAACATTCCACTTATATCCATTTTTATCTGATTGCTTAACCCATTGACGATGACGCCTAATTTTGCGTGGAGGCGCTGAGGGACGACGCGATTTTGCACAACATTGGCGGCGTGGGAAAGTTTTGTGATTATTTACGAAAAGTAAAGTGGTTTTGTAAACAGCTACAATCATATTCTTGGACAAAGAAGTCTACAGGTTCTAAATGTGCAAAAAACTGAAAAAAAATACTGAACTGTCGAAAAAATACTAGGCCTAGAAAGTGTATGATTTTGCAAGGAGTGTGGGCCACCGGTGGTCCACATCGTCGTCAATGGGTTAAACTGCTACATGGAATAACGGCCATGCCTACCCAACTGCCTAAGCGGCAGCTCAATTTCATCATTAACGAACAGAAAAACTGATTCTTTACTCTCACTCAGTACCGTACTCTTTCCTGTCAAAGTGTGATGGAGTAGGGTACTGGGCGGAGTTGGACTTGAACGCTAAGACGCAATTAATTCACAAGAGCTGACGTTTGGACAATATTTGTGGTCCTAAGAGCAGTTGAACTCAGAGCAGTACCTACCCTTTGATTCAACTAGCTTGGCGGTTGAAAAGTGGAACTTTGTGACCTAAATAAGGCTAGATAATGATAAGAGAGCACGCGCGCGACAGAGACGCAGACTGCGTCGCGGGCGCGAGCGGCCCTTCACAAAGACCCGCATTTCAGCCGCCAAGCCAATCAAATCGAAGGTTATGGGCCTGCAGACGCCACCAAGGGCAGCATCAAATAAGCTTATTGGCATCCATGTTTTATCATTTTCATGTTTTGACACGCCTACTTAGGTATGAGGCATAAAATATATAAAAATTTCTTTTTTGAAAACTATATTTTCGTGCATTAGTGCTGCTGTATGCAACAGGAAATCCCATCTTACGCAAGAGTTCCCATCGTATGCCAGAGGGACACAGTTACACAGTATACAACTCGACTTGGCTTGCCATGTCAGAACTTGTGAAAATCACAAGCTTATAAATCACAAGATTTATGTAATAAATTTTGAACATTCGTCCAGTATTGAATGAACATGCTGTGACTGAAATAGCACAGCAGGTGATCATGAATGACTCCTTTCTAAAAAAAGGTTTACTTGCATTAAAGCTGCAGTGAGGAAAGAAAGTTTCGGGCACTGTGGCGTCAATATAAAGAATCGTTATATCGTAGCCTAAATAATCTTTCTTCATTCAAAGACAACTGCGAATTCACAAAATTCAATCGTTTAGATTTCTTCTGCAAAGAAATCAAAATCAAGTTATGTTGAGCGTCGGATGCATTCTGAGTTTTTCTAACAATCATTCGTAAACTTTACCTACCAAATCTTGATATCCTCATAATTTTTTTTCGTTAAAAAATGGGTGAAAATTTGATCTAGATAACCATGTAGCCTAGTTATAAGATATTAAGTTGTCCTAAAAGTTCTTGCGCCGGATATTCAAAAAATCATAACTTTCTTTCTTCTCAACAATTTTTCTCAAAATTACTTTTGTATGAGAAAGGAATCCTTTCCTTTTATAGCTATGCCTTTGCCATGAATTAGCGTTGGTAAGTTCGAGAGTTGAAAGCAATTGAAGGAAATTAGTCAAGATCGACATTTTTCAAGCTGGATCACGAAAAATTTTGGAAGTATTTTTATCACGAAAAATTCTGGAAGTATTTTTATTTGATAGAGAAACTTTTGCACATTACAGTGGTACCTTTTTCATGAATTAAAACGGAGTAAATTTAGAAGCAAATAAAGAGAATTTCGTCACTTTTGCAATTTTTGAGCATGCTCAAAAGGCTTAAAAACGTCACAGAAAAGCGAAAAAGTCATAAAAATGGATTTTGTGAACTTTTCTTTCTAGCTGAGCGAAAATCGTGCCAATCGGGAGCAATTTTCATTTTCATGAAAAACGCAGACCCGAAAATCTGAAAAAAATTACTAAAAACTAACTTACCTCGAACTTACAATGCTAATTCATGGCAAAGGCATCGCTATAAAGAAAAAGGTTCCCTCTTTCATACAAAAATAATTTTGAGAAAAATCGTTGGGAAGAAAGGAAGTTATGATAATCCGGCGCAAGAACTTTTAGGACAACCCAATATATCGATTGATTAGGTTACTTACCTAATCCCTTTCGATCAAATTATAATTTCATTTTCGATAATTCATTCAAAAACTTGAATTTGATGTAAGGGGTTCTTCTCTAACTTCAAAATTACGATATCCATAGACAATATCTGGTATAAACACCATCTTTCAAAGAAAAGATTTGTGATGCAGGAGTGGCACAATAATTTAATTTATGCCAACGCGCAAAACAATTTCGCAAATATGGATTAGTCGCAACTTTTATGATCATTTCAATAAGGATATCGGGCAAAACGGTTCACATTTCTACTTGAAAGACACATTGCCGTTTCTCACAAAAGGTGACTTCAAGACTTGATCCATAAGCACAAGATTTCAGCTTTATCAGGGCCGGTAGTAATCTGGCCGAAACTCCGAATTTAAAGCTGTGCGTTAACTCAGAGTTAACTCTGAGTTTCGTTTTGAAACTCAGAGTTAACTGCGAGTTTCGTTTCTGAAACTCGGAGTTTCGTTCTGCTACTTAAGGCTCCGCTCTAGTTGTTGAGGAGCCGCCACATGCTTCATCGTAAAACGCTGTGACTAAGTTGGGACTCAAACTTCCATTGCTCGGCGCGAAGTGCCTACTACTATACCACTAGGCTAAAGAACCACTATTGTGGATTTGCTGCAATTGCTTAATATATCCCCGTGATCAAGACCTCACGTGTCAAGACACGTGGAGAGGCGTTAGGCTTGCCTGTGAGGTGCCTAGCAGTGGCGATCCCAAGATTTCGATACCTGGGGTGGGGGACGTGGCAAAAATTTTTTTCCAAGGTGCGTAAAGGTGCGTGGCATTAGCCGCGCAGTCTGAAAAATTTTTTGGGGTGCATCTCAAATTTTTTGCGGGTCTATAGCCCCAAATCTAAAAAAAAGCCCCCGAAAAATTTTTTACAAGGCTAGTTTGAATTTTTAAGAAATTCTGAAAATCATTTTGATTATTTACAAAGATAACCAAGTTATTTGCACATTTTTACAGCCCATGTAGGTAAGTTTCACCCCCCCCCCCCCCGCTCCTCATTCCGCCACTGGTTCTAGCCATAATAAATCCTAAAGATTCTTAAAGAAGTAGCAGGATGAAACATGGACATAGAAAGTAACCTAACAACCCGTCCCCTCCCCTCACCCCATATTTTGATATGCTATTATACTTGATAAAATTCGAAAGTCTATGAGTTTCCAAAACTTTTCGAATGGACTAGATCTATGATTTGTAATCCTGAAATAGACCATTATAATAGACTTCAAGTAGTAAACAAAGTCTACAGGTCGTAAATCGATTGTTAGAATTTTGAAAGACCTCTGAATAATGTAGCAAATTTCGAAAAAATTTTCTCGAGGTTTCTGTTGACACATTAAAAAAGAAATATTTTAAAAACACTCCCTGGTATCATTTCTTTTTTGCTAAAAAAGTTCAACTCGACCTGAGATTTTAGCCGCTCTTCTGTATATGTCCACCGTAATAATCCTCATTAATAACGGACAGCATGATCATAATTGCACTGCCAAAACTCAGTGGCGAATTTTTAAGCAGTTCAGCAAGTTTATTTCACCACATCTACTGCAGTCCCATCGCATAGTGTTGCAGTAAGAAGAAATAGTAAGTATCTAACAGTGGCGGACCGAAGGGGAGGCTCCCCTTCTCCCCGGGATGGGTCGCGAAATTTTTGAAATTTACTTACTGCGTTAAAAAAATGTGCAAATGACTTGTACGTTCTTGTAAATAATAAAATAATCTTTTAAAATTTCTTAAGATTCAAATTAGCCTTGTAAAAAAATTTTTGGGGGCGTAGCTGCTGACAAGCCCCCTTTTCCTATAATTTAGGGGTATGGGCCAGCAAAAAATGTTAAGAAGCACCCGAAAAATTGTCGCCATGCACCTTTACTTGAAAAATTTTTTGTCCCCCTTCCTCCCTCCTCCCGGACGAAAATCCTGCGACCGTCACTTTTAACTAAGTATTTAGCTGAACTTCCCCTGAAAAAAGTTCTAAGTGAGATTTTTTACCATCAACCGTAAATCCATTGAAACCCTTTTTTGAAAGGCATTTTCAAGCGACTATGATATTCCTGATTAACGTGCGGAATTAACGAAGCCAACTTTCATGAAATCCTGTGGTTTTGGGTAGTCTACCGTATCTCCCGCTATACACCGCTGTAGTAAAAAACGCGCAATGTGATTGTAATCGACACACCGCGCAACGCCACTGAGCGAACCAATCTTGAATCTGTTATGTGACATTAGCTTTCACCAAATTTTTACAGTAACCCTGCTCTATCTCTCCGCGGTGAAAAATGATAATCATATCCAAATTAGCGCAGCGAATAACTCCGCCAGATCAAGTTTCAGCCAATTTCGTATTTTCGCCCAACTACCGTATCCCTACCGTAACTTCGCTATGTGAGGAATGGCGAAAAATGAGCATCGGATTTGTGATCAGCACGTCCGATAACCCCTGGGACCAAAATTTTACAAAATTTCAAATTTTTGTGTTCAACGGTGCAGCATGATACCCCCATCATGCTTCATGGAACTCGAAGCAAAATCTATCCCGGAGGACTTTTTTCTGGACCTCTGCGTTTATGCGCTATTTCTTCTTCTCTAACCAAACTCAGAGTTAACTCCGAGTTTCGCGGGCGGCTGAAACGCGCAGCAAACTCAGAGTTAACGCGCAGCTGAGCTGCGCGTTTCGTCGCGTAGCGTCTCGCGTGGAACGAGTTACGCTACGTTTCCATACTTGGCATAAAGTACGTTTTGCGGGGTACCCTGCCATATAACCCTTTCCCCAATTTGGTTTGCTTATGCAGGTGTTAATGGTTCCTGAAAGGTGCGTGTTAACTCAGAGTTAACTCTGAGTTAACTCTGAGTTTGAGCTGCGCGTTTCGACAGGTTTACTACCGGCCCAGAAGTTCCAATAAATCACTCATGCACCAGTTAATCAAAGAAGAACGTAGAGTAATATTGAGCTTATATTAGTACCGTTGTCCTGAAGGCATAGTATATGAAGTTAAGGTAGCTCAGTCGATAGAATAGCGGAGTTTGTAAACATGTACAATTATGACTTTGGAATGTGAAAATTCTCGGCGAATTCGGCGATGTCGGCGATTTTGCGTTTTTCGCCGGCTTTGGCGAATTCGCCGAAATCGCCGAATTCGCCGAGAATTTTCACATTCCACTGTCACAACTGTATGGCATTGTCATAACTGTAGAAAAGCGTAGAAAAGCTTCCAGATTACTTAAGCATAAAGATTTGGATGAAAAAATTTACATAGGGTTTATAGCGGTCATCTGCTAGCAGCAGAGAGAAAATTATTTTTTTTACCAATTTATTAGTCTCTCCTGTGCGAGCGATGCTTACTTCAGACTGCATATGGGAGGCTACGAAAAATATGGCGTATTCAGATGCGAGAGAGGTGTCTAACATAATTTTTGGAGGAATTACGGGGCAACTTTGAAGGAGCCGATTTTATGGCCTGAGCATGCATGTTGGAGAGCTAATAACTTTGCGAATATTAGAGATATGAGGCTGGAGTTTGTTCTATTGTACAGATCTGCAAAAAATGATTTTTAGAGAGAAAGTCGTAGAATAACAAGTTTGCAATAAAAGTGCCTAATTGACAGCTGAACTTGGGAAATCTGTCAATAAGGGCGAATTTGCGCCCTCATATCTCTGCAGATTGTAGGGTTGGAGTAAGTAGGGATAACAGGCTGAAATAGCCATTCTTCAGTTTGAATTCGAGGGGGACACCACATATAATTCGGAGAAAATGCAGGGGCTCCGCTTGGGCCCATCTATGAACCTTCCCGGACTTGTTTTTTTTAGTTCAGGGTCTCGCAATTTCTCCTCTTTCTCCCCCCTCATTTTTTCCCCTCTCTTTATTTCTGCAGCGCGTGTAATAGTTACCCGCGGCCATCTGGACCTGGTTAGGGGGCTGAAAGCGGCTAGAAAGGGGGTACGGGCTAGAAAAACGCGATTTTCGCTTATTTTTCCTTATTTTTCCTTAATTTTTCTTATTTTCTTCAATTTCGATGTGGGGAAAGTGGGCGGAGCTTGCTTGGAGGGAGTTTCAGCTGTATAAAAGCACTGGAAATGAGCTTATTACGGAGTTTTTCGAAATTTTCGCTTAGTTTTTCGATAATTTTACCGATTTTCGAAATTTCTAAACCGCCAGAATATCGATTTTATCGATTTTTTGTCAATTTTCGGTATTTCGAAACCTCCAGGATATCGATTTTGTCGATTTTTGGGATTTCACAGCCCTGAGAATACCGATCCTATCAATTTTTGAGGATTTGGTGGTTCACTAACCTCCAAAATATCGATTTTTCGCTTTTTAACTGTGAACTGTAAGCCCCGCCCACTTATGATATGACTATACAATACCGCTCACAAAATATGCAAAATTTTCGCGAATATCGCGAATTTCCGAAAATTCCGCGAAATTCCTGGAATTTCGCGAAACTTCGCGAACTTTCCGAATTTTCGCGAAATTCCGGGAAGTTCGCGGAATTTTCGGAATTTCGCGACATTTACGGATATTTTGCACATTCTGTGAGCGGTATTGTAGTTTTGATCTGTTCAATTATGCTCTGTAAACGAAATTTTGTTAAGGGGCAATCCAATACTCAATGTAGATAGAGAGCTAAGATAAACGTTATTCGTTACAACAAGTTCGTGAGTTTCTTAGCAGCTAGACATGGTGCAAAGTATCTTTGATGTAAAGGCGAGAATGGCTAGCAAACTTCGTTAGAATCGAAATTTACCTGAAATTTAGCCACCGTTAACTCTACAGAATGAAGTTATCACAGGGACAGATGTGCTTTTTGTAATCAGCAGGTCGAATAACCTCTATGCTCATTTTTTCTAAGAAAATGAGCGCCACTTAATTTTTCTCGATTTTCGCTCTTGACCCTCGCCAGTGGTTTTGGTTGATTGATAATCTTGAATTCACCCGTAACTCCATTCACAGTAGTTTTCAAACCCACTGTTCACGAAAATCCTAGTTATTTCGCGCTAAAGAGTTCTACAGTGAAGTTTCAAATGGAAAAAAATTAGTTAACACGTTGACGACAGCGTGCATTTTTTAGCTGCCTGGCTTGTGGAACAGTCCCATTTACAATAAGTTGAGTATTTTTAGCTGAAATCAAAAAACTTGCTTGCTTGTTTTTGTAACTTAGAATCTTTGTAAAGAACGCAATCAGGCTGTGATTAGCACAGGCCCCTAACTGCACTTTTTCTCAGATTATGAGGTTACAAACTCACGTTCTCGTGAATTTTCCCAAATTTGAGAATCTTGTATTTTGACGGATTCTCATCGCTAAAATGTGCCAGCAGCAGCAAAACAATGAAAAAATTGTTGTCAGCACATTGAGTGATCCATTTGAGCGGAAATTTGAAGATTTACATCATACATGCAGTCAAACAGTTATGACTTTGGAAGGTGAAAATTCTCGGCGAATTCGGCGATGTCGGCGATTTTGCGTTTTTCGCCGACTTTGGCGAATTCGCCGAAATCGCCGAATTCGCCGAGAATTTTCACATTCCACTATCACAACTGTAGGTGATGAGTTGCTAAATATCGCAGCAAAAATTCTGCGAGAAAACCTCCTTCAAAAAAGGGGATAGAATGGAGTGCGATTCATAACCAGCTGAATTCAGAACATAGCTGTTCAAGGTTCACTGCTTCCTTGGATGTTCCAAAGATCTAGCCCGGGGTACATAATAGTACGAAAAGGATAAATGATAAAGGATTCGGCGTCTTCAATATCTTCTGGGGGCATGCGCCGAACGCACACACTAACTTCATAGTCGAAGAGGCAATTGTATGCGTGCGAGCCTATTACAGTGACTTGCGGGGGCCAACCGTTTCCAAATCAGTACTTTTATCCTCCCAGATTACTCTGGTACCAATTTACCAGCCCCGGAGGGTAGAGGGCTTGGTTGGCCCAGGGCCGGGGATAAATGTATGAAACTCTCAAGATTTCGGCGTATAACCAATATTGAAATTTTTGAGCAAAACGCGGGAGATTTTTGGGGTTTTCTTGACATTAACGGCATTCCTGGTATCAAAGATATTGTGGAAACAATCTGCTGTTCAGCTATAATATATAGAAGCCACATGTCAACATCCTCACACCGCTTAATAAAATTGCCAAGAGTCAACGTTTTGACGCTGTAAGATTGTTGGGCTATTGTGTTAACGGCCAATTTGATGCTATGGTGTTGTTTTAGGAGTCGAAACGTGAACGATTTCGATTTATTTCAGTTTTCGCGCTGGCGCAATTACTTTGTGTGGCACAAGTTGAGATTTGGACTTATATGAATTATAAGGTTTAAATGCAGTTCTATCAAAGAAGGTCTCAACAAAACATGAAAACAAGAACTTGGTGTAAGTTGGGTTGGGTGCAATCGAAGCATGGTGTGTAAGAAATATCACATGCTTTGGAACACATTATGTAAACGATTTTAAGAACAATAAGAACAATCAGAATCTCTAAAGCTCTCAGACGTGTGCCGTAAACTGGCAAGAATCCAAATTTCTTATCTAACATGGCTTAAATCCATTTCACTTAGAAGAAGGCAGAAAGCTGGTAAAGTAAGTCGTGCGATAGATTTTTCAAACACATATTTGGCAGCCAGCTGATAGCGAGTGATTTACAATGGCGCATGGAATTTTCTACCGTAATTCTATTTGTACGAGGAGCAGGTTCTTGAAAGGTAGGTCAAAGCCAAAGTTAGTCCCTTCAATGCGTGACACCTTTGGTACTGTCAAGACACAAAGAGGAAAGAAAAATAACCGCTGAATAATCTATACACATGAATATCACTTAAATTTCAGTCACATCAAACTAAGTTGTATTAAAAACGATGAAACCAAGTTAATTAAATTATATGCGCGTTTTGGTGAGATATCGCCTTAGAGCAGTAAGTAAAAATTTGAATTGAAGCGAAAAGGACTTATCTCCAGAACGAACGCAGGTCTTCAAAAACTTGCACTTCGATTTGAGGCCAAGCTTTGGACTAGAGCTATATGAAAGCCTTTGCACATTGGAAATTGGGTTGCACGGAAATTTGGTGCGAAAATTGAGTCGTCATTTGAAGAGTTTAAAAACGTTTCCACTCTATTGGTAAAGGCCTTGAGATATTTGGAGAAATGAATCATATAATATTATTGGATTCCAGTAACTTTGAAAATCTTATTCTATCAGGACAATTATTTTGCTTCGTTAGATGTGTTGAGATTAATAGAATGTTTAACAGAACCTTGCTTATAAGCTTGAAGGGAAAGAGATAGACTAGAGATAATTGAAAGTGGTGCACAAATTTTCGAAGAAAGGATATGTAAAAATATGCTTGTCAAAAACTTCAGTATAGATCACCTACCCTCAAATATGAGCAAATAACAGACATTATGCCCACCGTAAAAGCAGTTCAATCTACCTTCCAATTTCGCATAAAGTTGAGTTTTTTATGCTCTTCGCAACCTTCAGATTCTAACCAACGCGCTATAAAAGCGATGTAATGCACCCAGTCAACAGCACAATGTTCGTTGAGAAACTAGCCGTTGGTGTGGGAGCAACCTGCTCTACCCTCGCCATTCTGGCTTGTTTGGCGGTTGTGTCATCCTTGTACAGTACCATCAACGAACTTCACGCTGAAGTTCTCGATGGCGTCGCGGTGTTTCGCGTCGAGACCGACTCAGCCTGGGCCCAAATGATGGACTACCAAGTGACTGTCTCTCCACCTGCCAAGCCTCGTCAGAACCCCTTCAGGTCCATCTTCCGTGAGAAAAGACAGGCCCTCCCCTCGTACTGCCAATGCACGCCTCCCACCGTCAACTGCCCTCCAGGACCACCGGGACCACCAGGACAGCCTGGACGACCAGGTTCGTATATATTTGTGATTTGTGGATAGGTAGAAGAGGACATTTTCTTTTAGGACAGCCTGGTCAGCCTGGACCACCAGGACAGGATAACACGGTCGTTTACGCTCCTATCCAATGCCCTCCACAAAACACCGCCTGCATTGATTGCCCACCAGGACCACCTGGCCCACCCGGACAAGATGGACAGTGTGGAAATCCAGGACCCGACGGGCAGCCAGGAGCTCCTGGAGCACCAGGAAACGATGGTCAGCCTGGACCACTAGGAGAACCTGGAGATGCCGGATCACCTGGAAGTCCAGGATGTGACGGAGCCCCAGGCAACCCAGGACAAGACGGAATCGCCGGCACCGTAGGAGCACCAGGAAGCCCTGGGTTGACTGGACCTCAAGGTCCACCTGGTGATAATGGAGCACCGGGAGAGCCAGGATGCGATGGACAACCGGGACAACCGGGACCCGCTGGACAACCTGGATCTCCTGGTATCCGTGGTCCTGACGGACCACCTGGACAGCCTGGAGTACCAGGCGTACCTGGAAGAGATGCTGGATACTGTCCTTGCCCTAATCGCTCTACCGCTTACGTCAGCCCTAGTCCAAGTCCTAGCCCAGCTCCAGCAGCGGCTTATCCAGTCAAGGCTAAGAAACTCAAGAAGCACTAAGCACCTTTTTTCACACTTTTCATGTCTTCTCAATAATGTTTGCGAATAAAGATGCTTGACACTTGAGCATAAAGAAGCGGAAAATTTGCAACATTTTGTCATAGGAGATTCTAATTGATAATTGTTACACATTTGAAAAAGTTATTGATATTCATTACTACTCAACTATACAGTCCTGCATAGGTCGCCAGACTTTTCAAAAAGAACTAAGTATGCTCTTGACGATTGCTCCTAACATGTGGGTTGGAAGAGGTTCAGATTGTTTACCACTAGGATCACGTTCAGTTTTTATAATGCGCATTTTCTAATTTCTTTCAATAATTAACTGGATATTTGAACTTTCAATACCAGGATACCGGATTGCAGAATCTGCAAAGTTTTTATGTAGCGCAAAATTCTTTCGCACTCGGTACGTCAACCACAGGAAAGGCGAAATGTAATATATCACTGTGGCACTATGTTCCACAGACAAATATTGACCATATTGAGCAATTGTCCTGGGATCTCAAATTCAGTCATTGGTAGTAGGAAAAAACGAATTTGAAACATACAACAAAGTTTCGCCAGAAGCAACTCAACATGGCCAACTTACCTCGTTATCAGCCATACTGTACTATTCTTCCGAAGCTTTCCTGCAGCTCTAATAAAATGTTCCACCTTGCATTGCTCCATGATTTGTGACATGAAAGAATTGGTAGAATAACTGAAGAAGTGGTTTCAAAAGAGGCCGAACAATCAAGCGCATTTTCTTACCGTAAGAAGAACAGTGCATTAACGGCCTACACTCTGAGTTTGGCTATACCGATCATTGGTAGGATAGACAGTACAAAACTAGCTGATTACACAAATCATTTGAGCAGACATCTCGGATGCTATTAAGTTGGCTAATAAGAACATTTTTTCTTCTATTTTCATAAAATCTTCAAAATTTGATGGGAATATATTCGAATATTCTTCTTTTTTGCACCCTTTCGTCATCAAAAAAATTCCGAACAATTAGTTGAGCGTCCGACTCTCCTTGTTGTTCTTTCGAACGGTGCCATGCATTCATACATTTATCAAATTGTAACACTTCCACAAACCGTCAAAAATGACCGAACATATTTTCTATCCAACTTAATAGCTTGCATGCTCGAAAATTATTTTGTAAGTTTGTCAGCAGTAGATGCAAGACTCTTTGATAATCCAAACACATTCCATGTGTTGCATTTGAATAGAATTAATTTTTTGAACAATAATAAATCACGAGTTCTGTCGTTGCAATCTACTGATAGCAGAAACCGTTGACATAATATAGGAGAGAAGTTAAAGCCAAAACGCAAGCTCTTTTCTGTGATTGCTGCTGGTAATAACTTCTTTTAATTCATAAATTGTTACTGAGCAAGTAAAAAATTTTTATACTCATTTTTCTGGAATTATTAGAGCAAAAAATGACTCCATAGAGTAAAGAACGTTGCAACTTTCCAAAGTTTTCTTACTGCAGTGAAAATGAGGCGATATAGGCAAGTAATACTTTTTCTTTCAATATCTCTCTTCAGTGTACTAAACCTCTAACTAACATTCATTAGAATATTTATTCGTAATCAGTTCCTGACTTGCGGTAATAAAAATTTCGCGTCTACATTTCCATATTTTTTTGGTGTTACAGCTGGTTCGGTTTGCCTTTAGGCGAGTTGTCAGAATAATCAACATTGAATTTGAAACCTCATTGAGATTACCAAGCAACAACTGTTTGACCATGGAGACTCCAAGACTACGCTGATTCCGAGTTAGCAACGATTCCAGGAAGGTTTCAGAAGTGGCTTTGCGTTTGCTGGCGATTGGTTGCTCGGACCATGAAGTTTGCGATCCTCGCCGTGCTTGTCTTACAGGTAGGCTTCGGCATGGTACCATATGTATTATTAGAAGTTCAGGTGGAATGGGCTTTGCCTTGCACCTTCCAACGAGAGGATGTACTGCGAGGTGCACATTTCAGGACTTACTTCGTCAGCGAAGCTGAATGCTTTGCTAGGTGCCTCAACCACCAGCAGAAATGCACAGGCTTTTGCTATAGGCAGGTAAGCTTTAAGAAAATGCTAGATGGAATGCAGAATATCATCTTGTTAAATTTTGACGGCGGCACATTTTGACTACTGACCGTAACCGCATAAAGTTTGGGGAAAAACGCAGGGTCACCTGCGGAAGTTCCATGGACGTGGTGCGCAAGTTCCGAAATGAAGTGCTGGGAAAGTTGAATCAGCGAATCACATCAGCAAGAGAAAGCATCTAAGCAAGATTTAAACCTTACCCTATTGACTGCAAGGCTCCCCTGTTATCCTCTGCACTACGGATGACTTAGGCGAATTGCACTCTACTTGTTGGGGAGGCGAGATCGTACGAGACAAAACATTCAAAATTTGCGGAAGTACTGGCATGTCAAAATGCTGCGGAACCGTTGGCACTTTTCGGAAGTTCCGCAGCGCTTTGCAAAAGTCCTGCGGAGGCTCCCGTTTCCAACCAGTCCGAAGTGGAATCCTGCGGAAGTTCCCATTTTCAACGTTTCCGCTTTTGCAATAGTAAACAAAATTCCACGGAACCGCTGCAAATTTTGCTCGTCCTACGGAAGTTCCGGTGAATTGTCTGAGATTGAATGGTTGACCTCAACACCTCAAACCACACATTGTAGGGAGAACTTTCTACATTTTGAGTTTTTACTCAGAAAAATTCATTGCTATAACAGCTCTGGTCTTAAGACGCAGTTGATTGGGATTAGCACCAACCTAATAAGAATAATACTATACCTTGGAACAATAATCAGCGCAGCACAAAAAGTTAACAGCTACAAATAATTCCTGATGTTGATCCCTACAAACAGATGAAGTCTACTTCATTCGAGTCTCAGCTTACGACTGAACAAAATTCGGCTACAGGGCTTATCAAATGAAGTGTCGCTTGCGCCAACATCTCCACTTCCGCGCTGGACTCTGCGTCTCTTCTGCGAACATGCTCTCTAATCACTTCCAATCGATCGAGGCTTTTCCTTTCCCACGCTCACTCTGGGAAAGTATCAAAGAGCATGTTCGCGGAAGAGATGCAGAATTCAGCGCGGGAGTGGAGATGTGATGCAAGCGACACTGCGTTTGATAAGCCTTGTATGTATCCAATACATGCTTGAGTAGAAGCTTCCAGGTTGTCACTTATTTCGTTGTTATATAGTAAACGCTAAACTAAACCAAATCTGTTTATAGACTGGTCAGCAGTGTAATCTACTCGCTGGTGGTGACGTGGAACAATCTTACCCTGCTGCCCAATGCTACTCCCTTCACCGCAACTCGGTGAAACCGCCTCATTACACAAGAAAACTGAGTTTCATCAAAAAGGAATCGAGATGGGTGGTTGCGTAATGCTTCATAAGGGGAAAGCAAGTAGCTGATTGAGATTTTGGGTCAGCACCGACGAAATGTAGTTAGTTGCAGTGAACGTTTGCACTGAGATGTTCGCCAAGAATAAACTTAGTTGATGCTTGTGAAATTGGCAACGTATCTTTGGAGCACGTATTGTTAATTTGTGAATCCACAAGCAAAATGTGCAAGATCAAAGAATTGAAGGGTTTGAACCTTTCATACACTGCGTCCAACAAGCACACTCACACTCTCATTTTGAAGATTACAAACTGTGTACCTCAAGGTAGATAAACACTACGGTTGAAGGTCGGAGAGTAAAAGGATTACATTCCTTCTATTACACAATATAATATAGATCAAATCGACTGTGGAAAGAAACATGAGTTCAATAAGGATAGTTGGAAATTTCCAAAAAGTGTGTAGAACCAAACCATTTCTCCGCGAAGAAGGGAAAACGAAGCAACTTTAGAGCAAACTCTCTGGATACCTTGAACCATTCTTATAATATTTTGTTAGTTCTACCTATTGAAAGATTTTGTTCAAGATTCATGCTAAAATTTCATTCAGTTGCCAACTCCACATATTTTAGTCAGCGATACAGTCATGGTAACGTAATATTGGGTCAATCCGAAAGTAATTTCGCTTTTTCAAACGGACGCCACATTTGATGGGACAAAGGTTTCTAAGAGATCTTGAAGACATTCGTTGCAGTATTTCATCCTCTTTCTAATTGTTATGAAATTGTTGCAACACAGTCAATGAGCTTTCAGAAAATAACCAAAATCTGCGACTTATGCTTTTTAGAATAGTCAAGTCTCACAATTTCTTGAAAATTTTATATCAATCCTCAGAAGGAGATCAAGCAAGGATTCGATAGAACAAACCTCATAGAATATAGTACAACTTTTTTCTCTTTTTTAAATCTCGCGATAATTTTTTAAAAGATTTTAACAAAGCCATTGGAATTTGGCAGGCCTGCTTAGCCACAATCGCATCATACATCATAATTATTCGGAAACTGAGACTGCCAAGATGGTGCTATGAGTTAGCACTAATTTTACAAAGCAAGTGAGAGTTTACGGATTCGAAATATCAAATTTCGAGTTTTTCGGGTGCAGCCTGAGGCTCGCTAAAAAATGAGTTATGAGGATTTCAATTCCAAAGACTGAATGGGAAACAAAAAGCACCTGTTGGAAAAAGGAGAAAAAGCTGCAGCAAACAGCACCCGACCTTTTTTCCCTTTGATGTTCTACGAGGATTAGGTGTCCAAGTATGGAAATCGGTAGCATCAGTTAAAATTCTGTTTAAAATGAATGACAAGCTGTGGAAAGGAGAAAAAAATTGTTTTGCATCCTGTAACGTTTGCTTTATAGACATGTTACTTTCGCTTTTTCGGAGGGTTGATATAAAAGTTTAGAAAAATCGCGAAACTTGACCATCTCAAAAAGCACAGGTCGCAGATTTTAAATATTTTCTAGAAGATCATTGACTATTTTGCAACACTTTCATAACCACTAGAGAGAGGATGAAATGCTGCATCGAATGCTACCAAGATCTCTTTGAAATGTTCGTTCCATCACATGTGGCGTCCGTTTGAAAAAAAGCGAAATTACTTTCGGAATGACCTTATATTATTTATGACATAAGCACTAACAAAAACCGGGATTCGTACAAAAGTTTTGCGCAAAAATCCTCTACAAAAAGTAATGAAAATCGAAGCCCTCGGCGGTAAATCTAGGAACAATTCTTTAAATCCATTAAGCGCCATTCTACAAAATTTCCAAAGGTGTAACAAGAGCAATCGTAGTCCTACCTGTTATAACTGAGCTATGTACAATGATCGATATCGGAATTGAACTCAAACGAAGCAAGAAGTGCATTACTATTGCTAATAAAACGATTAACAAATCTAGTGAATCGTCGATCTGGACAGGTTCCTTGGATGCCACACCTGAAACCTTTAGAGGTGCACTTGATTTTGTCGCATATTCACATCAATGAACAGGAAACTGAGTTGCTAAAAAATTCTTCACTGATATGATACGCCCTCATCACACTAAACCTAAAACCCCTGTACAATCTACCATTTTTTGCTGCAAGCTTGATTGCGTAATGTTGACATGATATATATCTTTCTTGCTTTAAAATTCATATATGAGGCTGAAACACTTTTCGAAATTGTTCAGGAGAGTTTTGAGACATTTCGGAGAGGAAGGAGAAATTGAAGTCCTATGTGCTGATCCACACATGGAAATCGTTTGAGTCACGAGGTCTGCAACTCTGACCAAACGAAATTTTCTTTTCCATAATCAAAACTCATCTTACCTGCCGCATTACGATGGATTCAAGTGGAGAAAACTGAAATTGTTTGATGAGCCTTTATCTGCTTGCAAAATTGGAAATTACTTTTCGTTTCACATAAAATTGTGATCAACTTGTAATTAGAAATCATTTTTAAAATCACTGACGAATATATGCACTTCTCCAATTCTCGCTTTTTTCAACACGATTGAAAAGACGTAGAGAGGGCAGAAAAGTTTAGATGTGGGTCCATGTAGCATTTCGTTTGCTGCCATGCCTCTCTTATGCAAGATGAAATGGATGAATAAAACAATAGGAAAATATGAATATACGATTGGAATAATTGCTTTCAATCGCGAGGCAAACAACCAAATACGTTCTTTGGAAAAGAACATCGAAAAATCAAGAAATTCAAGGTACTGAAGCTCCTTTTGAATTCACAAGTCGATCCATATTTCGAACAAATCAGCCTGCACTTCCGAATTCGAAAGTTTAGTACAGATAACAAAGTTGTTTAAAATTGGCAAAATTGGCAACAAAAGACAAAAATTAAAAAAAATGTTCTATCCTCGAAAAAAAGGTGAGATACATTTGCATGTATCGAAGACCTGGACCAAATTCTTTTGTAACTAATAGGTTGCTGCGTAAGTTCAATCCGTTTTAAATTTTGAAAGCCAAAAAAATTGGATTTTTTTAGGATCAAATTCTATAGATTAAGCAAGCTTTGGCTATCAGAAGGTGATAGACCCTACGAAAAACACTGCCGTATAAAAAGGAAAACTTAAAAACCTTGCAACGCTCTCTTCCAACCTGCAGTTTTTTGAGACGGTGATGCTCCCTTACAAGGACTGGCAGGCATATTTAGTTACCATTGATATGTAGATAGCGAAAATTTTGAAGAGAATTGGCCAAAAAAATTCATGTAGTCCTTGAGGCTTAAAGGTTTTTTGAGCGATCGAAAAAGTTTTGACCTCATTTTAGTACTTTAAATCATAACTTTTTTATAAATGCTGGGAGCGGAGGGGAGTAGTTGGTAAATGGGCTTCCAGCTCTTGCTCTATTTTATCTCCTACAGAGTTCGACTCATCGGTTTATAATTCACAGGACGTTATTGTTTATAGAACATCTGAACGAATCTTTGGCTTCAACAGTAAATTCTGCAAGCAGACGATTGTTGCATGAAAGTGAATTTGTGAATCTGGAGCATTACATCCTCAATCCATGACCAGTTCAAGGCCTGACTTGAAGGCGCACTGACAAGAAAATATCCCCTAGGTGAGACCGTATGGCCACCTAAGATCGATCTTAACCCTAAAATTTCAATCCGTGTCAGAAAAAAAACCACAAAACGCTTATTGATGATACTAATGAACACCCTGAAGGCGAGAATCTTTCGCAAACTTTTGTTTGCTTCTTCGAACACAAAGCAACAAACAAAAGTTATGCACCAACCTAGTAGTGTAGAAGTTCCTTAGAGAATTTATGGTATGCCATCTTTATTGCAGTCCAATTTACTCAATTTCGCTCAAAGTTAAGTTTTTTATGCTTCTCGCGTCCTTCATAATTTATCTCATGCGCTATAAAAGCGCTGCATTTCACCTAGCCACCAGCACAATGTTCGCTGAGAAACTCGCCATTGGTGTGGGAGCCGCCTGCTCCACCCTGGCCATCCTCGCCTGTTTGGCTACGGTGTCATCACTGTACAGCACCATCAACGAACTTCACGCTGAGGTTCTTGACGGCGTTGCGGTGTTCCGAGTCGAGACCGACTCAGCCTGGGCCCAGATGATGGACTACCAAGTAACTGTCTCCCCACCTGCCAAGCCTCGTCAGAACCCCTTCAACTCCATCTTCCGTGAAAAAAGACAGGCTCTCCCCTCATACTGCCAGTGCACACCTCCCACTGTCAACTGCCCTCCAGGACCACCAGGCCCACCAGGACAGCCTGGACGACCAGGTTCGTATATATTTGTGATTTGTGGATAGGTAGAAAAGTGCATTTTCTTTTAGGACAGCCTGGTCAGCCTGGACCGCCAGGACAGGATAACACGGTCGTTTACGCTCCTATCCAGTGCCCTCCACAGAGCACCGCCTGCATTGATTGCCCACCAGGACCACCCGGTCCACCTGGACAAGATGGACAGTGTGGAAATCCAGGACCCGACGGCCAGCCAGGAGCTCCTGGAGCACCAGGAAACGATGGTCAGCTTGGACCACTAGGAGAACCTGGAGATGCCGGATCACCTGGAAGTCCAGGATGTGACGGAGCCCCAGGAAACCCAGGACAAGACGGAATCGCCGGCACCATAGGAGCACCAGGAAGCCCTGGGTTGACTGGACCTCAAGGTCCTCCTGGTGATAACGGAACACCAGGAGAGCCCGGATGCGATGGACAGCCGGGACAACCCGGACCTGCTGGGCAACCTGGGTCTCCTGGTATCCGCGGTCCTGATGGACCACCTGGACAGCCTGGAGTACCAGGCGTACCTGGAAGAGATGCTGGATACTGTCCTTGCCCTAATCGCTCTAACGCTTACGTCAGCCCTAGTCCAAGTCCTAGCCCAGCTCTAGCAGCGGCTTATCCAGTCAAGGCTAAGAAACTCAAGAAGCACTAAGCTTTTTTGAACACTTGTCAATTATTTGTGATGATGCTTGCAAATAAAGGTGCATAATAGGGGTGATATTGGTGCAATAATCACAACAGAACCTGCAGGACAACAAAAAGGAATTTGAAATTTTGAGGTATAGCGATTAACATAGGAATTCCTTTT